GTTCTAATGTAATATCTACACATTCTTCTTGCTGGCTTTGTTAGACCTATGGGTAATGTACCAAGATACAGATCGCCAATTCAAGGAAATCCAGATAAACATTTCATAAGTTTAATCAGTTAGTTATATTTAAAAGAAATAAATTCATTTTTATTCTAAACTTTTTTCTTTGGTTTTGGAAACAGAATCTCTCTATGTAGTCCAAGCTAACTTGAACTCACAATCCTAAATCCATCTCCTGCTGAAATCAGTGACTGCAATCTACCTTCATCAGAGCTGTCTGCTGTCACTATTCACAGTAGTTAGCTGATACTCTCAGCTAGCAGTCACCACTGCGATGGCCATTAGGCAGGCATAATGAAGACTGGTCCTGTGAGAAATGGGAAGGCTTTTAGGACATTATGGAGCAGTTTTGTCAAAATAGATAATTTCCATGTAATTAAACATTAAATAGCATGTAATTTTTTTCTGAAAAAGAGAAAAAAAAGAGCATCATATCTGAAATTTTTTCTTTTTGTTATTTTATAATTTTTATTTTACTCACATGTGTATACATTGTTTGGGCACCTCCCCCACCCTCACTTCCAGCAGAAACTGTTCTGCCCTCTTGTTCTCCGACTTTGTTGAAGAAAAAACATAAGCAATAGTAAGGAAAGACAGCGTTTTGCTTGTTTTGAGATAAAGATAGCTAGACGGAGAGATTCCTAGTGTTGCTTCCATGTACATGTGTATTACAACCTACAGTGATTCATCTCTGCCAGACCTCTTCACTACTTCCTGGTCCTCTTCCCATAGTGGCTTCGGCCAGTTAAGATTACTATATTCGCTCCTCTACAGTGAGCACATCAACCCCACATTCAAATTTTAGGTTTCTTTCCCTTTTCCCCTTAGTGTGTGACCCATGTCCAATAATATTACTGCATTTGGATACTTTAAAGCAACAGAGGCCAATAGGAGAAGGGACCAGGAACTAGAGAAAAGGTTAGTTCAAGAAGAGTTAACTAGGAGATAACACACATGCACAGGAAAGCAATGCGAGTCAACTCCTTATATAGCTATCCTTATCTCAACCAGCAAAAAACCCTTGTTCCTTCCTATTATTGCTTATACTCTCTCACAACAAAATTAGAAATAAGGGCAAAATAGTTTCTGCTGGGTATTGAGGGGATAGGGGAGCAGGAGGGGTGGAGTGGGTGGTAAGGAGGGGGGGGGCAGGGGGAAGAAATGACCCAAGCCTTGTATGCACATATGAATAATAAAATTTTTAAAAAAATATATACTGCATTTGTTTTAGATCTATAATCCACATATATGGCCTTCTGAGCCTGACTAACTTTGCTTTATTTTTATCTTGGTGGTGCTGAAGATAGAGCACATGGCCTCTCATATGTGAGGCAAGTACTTTACCACTGAACAACATTTGGCACAGAGCAGTCTGTTTGAATAAAAGGAGCATGGCATGAATTTGAACCCTACTTTAAGCACATTTACCAGTTATTTTTTCACCTTTTAATAAACTCAATAACTCAATTTCTTCATATATAAAGCAGGAATTAAAAATAGTGCTATCTTAGAAAACACCACAGTGATGCTTCCATGATAATCTTTGCATGGTATTTACAATAGTCTCTAGCACCCAACAGTTCAATAGTTTTTAAATATTACAATTACTATTACTAACACATGCAACATTTCAATTAATCAAAATAATACAATTATACTTTTTTTCAGCTATTTAAGATTATGTATTTCAATGAATCTAAGATGTTCTTTTGTTTTTCCAGTTGATAAGTGATCTATTATGTTGGCCAGGGTGACCTTGATCTTCTGATCCTAGTACTCAGGATTATAGATGAGCACAAACTGTGCCTGTTTTAAAACACTGTTTTTCTCACAGTTTAGCATCATTGACACTGGAGTGCCCACTTATAATCCATGATATATCACAACGGTAATTGGTGGCATTTTGAAATTTTAATTTACAAAATAAAGGTCATCACATAACCCAGGATGCCTTTGTTAAAACACAATGTGATACACTCAACGATCCATGAGTCACATTGGCCTTTAAATGAATTTTAATTCTTAAAGTACTACATGTAAAACTGGGATGAGCAAAAAAAGCAACAAGCACCACAACAAGTCTAAACACATAGTAATCTTGCTTTGACTTTCAAGAAACTTTAAATCAAAGAAATTCAGAATTCGAATGAATGAGACCAGTCATGTAATTCATTATTCAGATTTTATAGAATGTATAGAAATCAGATATTTATAATGGTCTATACCAATGTTTAATACTGTTATAAATTTTCCAAAGGGACATTAGATTGTCTTTACAGTTTTCTACCTTTGGAAAAAAATTTAGTTTGAAATGAGGGAGAAAATGTTCAGTTGAAATTGAGTCCTCTTCCTCTACTTGTTTGACTGGCCAAGGAAACATGAAGGCTTTAAGGACAAAATGTTCTTGAAAAATAGTAGAATATGTGTGCTGCATAATAGGTATTGAGTTATGTCTCATGAATAGATGGATTGAAAGAATGGGTAAGTATATTTGTGGGTTCAGTTGTTTTGGCAGTACTGGAATTTGAACCCAGGACTTAAGGTTTGCATAATAGAAATACAGAATAAAATTTCAATTAAAATTCAAATACTTGAAAATGAAAAAATATTGGCACATTTTGTTCATATTTTTGGCTAACCAAGAACTTAAGTCTATTTTGTATATGTATAATCTGATTTTTCACCCACTTAACAGAGCAAAGTACAATTTCCATGATAACATACATCTATATTCATCCACCTTTAGTGATCGCAAATTTTCCATCCTATGGATGTATTGCAGTTTATTTATAAAATCTCTTCTATAGTTCTTCTTAATACATTACTATTTTAAGCAGTGTTGAGGAAAACAAATTGTGTGTGACTCTGTGCATATTCCTAAAGATATTTTGGAGTTGATGGGTAAAGATATGTATTTTAATGTAATGCAGTGCTTACCATCAAATTGTCTATTTGAAAAGTCATAAGCAACTTAAACAGAATACAATTACCACTCCTCTTAACCTCACAAACTTTGTATCTGGAAAACAGTATTTCATTCCTTGTTTAAGTTAAATTCCTTTCCTTACCAGGGACACCAAATACTTTGGACAGTGTCCATCAATCACCTGTAGGTCATCAAAAAATACCTTACTTAATTTGAATTAAATTCAGGGTTTGGAGGCATATCCCAGTGGTACCACTTCCCAGCATTCATGAGGTCCAGGGTTCAATTCCAAGCACCAATTACTAAACAGAGTTCAAGGTTTTGAGTTTTCCTTGTTGATATGAAAGAATTCTGTTTTAATGCATAAATATTCTGAGAGTAACATCCTTCCTTTTGCTAATTTTTTTCTGCTATATATGGGGGTTTGATTTTTATTGATAAACTGAACTTCAGGATGCTTGATTTAAGGCTGGGAATGTAGTTCAGTGGTACTATGTGTACTTTGCATGCAACAGGACCTGGGTTAAATCTCCAGCACCAAAAACAAAACAAAACAAAACAATAAAACAGGAATGCTTGCTTCAAGATCATTTTTATTCTTAAGAAGGTCTTTGCCAACATGAAAATGTATAATTATGCAATTTTTTTTCCTTTCTGCTACTCTTCTCATTTTGAATTACTTAAAGTTTTAAATCTATCTTCCATTAGGACCTTATTCTCATGACATAAAAATACAGCTAGTTTTATCCAAACAAGTGTCAGGTTTATGATTCATGAGTAATTCTACTTTTCCTACTAACATGAAATATCACTAGCATCAAGTTCTGAATTCCTAGATATTTAGGGATGTTTCTGTATTTTCTATTCTGTTCCACTCATTTCTCTTTTTAGTTATAAGTAAATTATTTCTGAAAATTACATATTTTTGTATCCACAACAGTGTGTGTTTCTTACAAACATTTTCTTAATGTCATCAGAATAGTCAAAGACCACATATGGAACTTAAATATGTTAAAACTTTGATTTTCTTTTTATTTGGTTTAAGTAAAATTGATCACCATAGAAGGAGCCAAATTCGGGAATAATGAGTCTTCACATGTGAGACCATAAAGCCAGGGAAAGACACAATGCCACCACCCTCAGTAACCTGTGAACAGAACGCTGGGAGTAACAAAGAGCATGTATGCCAAGGCCAGCAGCCTGAGTACCTCCTCGACTCTATCCCCCCGCCGGTTATTGTGGGGGGTCACCTCATCTGCTCAATAAGCTTTCGTGCAAAAATTCACACAAAAATATGAATGGATTACAGCAGAAATAGTATTGGCACAGTGGGAATTAGCAATTTTACACAGAAAGCTTTGGGAGATTTTTACTGTAGTTGACCTAAAGTTGGGACAAAATTTTAAAAATGAGCTTGGTGCTTTGGGATGTGTGAAAGGTGCCAGTGAACACTGCTGTCCTCTATCAGGAAAAGAAGCACTTGCATTGTCAGCACATTGTGCTCTGAAGATGGCTGGCTTATCAAGATAGCGCTGGGCAACCCTCCAGAGCTAGATGGACTAATGTGTGAAGAAGCATATCGAGCCACAGACGATTAGCCCAGGTGGGAGAGGCTTGTGGCACATCAGCTGCACCACTGGAACTGGCAGCTGCGGGAGCTCTGGAGTCCCACAAAGTGTGGGTCTGCCTGCAGCTTCCACTGGACCACTGTCCTTGCAGCAGAGGGTAGGGGGAGAGAGACTCAGGGTTGCAGAAACTTGGAAGTAAGAGAGCAGAGCATAGCCTCTCCAGGACAGGGGTGCCAGACACCAAGGATTCTGCATTTGACTCTACAAAGTGTGCCAAATTGATTGAGGCAAAGGCTCCATTTCAAGAACTCTGAACTTGGGGATGATACATACTTCTTAAGAATCCAAGTTTTTCTGCCACCCCTCCATGGGAAGACATTTCCATCTTAATGGTCCTTCACTTTGAGAAGAGGGCATCCAGGACGCTAAGGCTCTCCCAACCCATGGCACTACCTGGCTTCTCACAGGCTGCCTGGAGCCTGGAGCCTCCAGCTCCCACAGCTACCTCCTCGTCTTCAGGACTTCAGGTACAGGATGGTGCCAGGAGCCCTGTGGCACCACAGGGGCTTCCCCTGGAGAAGGTGAAGCGACCCATGAACGCGTTCATGGTATGGAGCTCCGCTCAGCGCCGCCAGATGGCGCAGCAGAACCCAAAGATGCACAACTCCGAGATTTCGAAGCGCCTGGGTGCTCAGTGGAAGATGCTGGGTGAGGAGGAGAAGCGGCCCTTTGTGGAGGAGGCCAAGCGGCTGCGCGCCCGGCACCTGCGCGACTATCCCGACTACAAGTACCGGCCCCGGCGCAAGACCAAGAGCTCAGGCGCTGGCCCTCCGCACTTCAGCCAGGGAGGAAGCGGTGAGGTCTGCAGGGGGCCGCACTGGGGGCCAGGGTACACTACCACCCAAGGGAGCAGAGGATTTGGGTACCAGCCCCCAAACTACTCTACAGCCTACTTGCCTGGAAGCTATGGCTCTTCCCACTGTAGACTGGAGGCTCCCTCATCGTACTCCCTCCCTCAGAGTGACCCTGGGCTCCAGGGGGAGCTGCTTCCTCCTCATGACCCATACCTACCCTCAGGCTCTCCCACTCTTACAACACTCCCCTGGCTGGTGTCCCCATGCCCCTAACCCACCTTTAACTCCATGTACGTGGACCTCCACCTCCCGGGAAGGGCCGCATCCTCCTTTCCCACCAGAACCACCCCCACAGCCACAGATTGCAAACCCTTTCCTGTGTTGTACAACAGTTCAGAAGCCTACAACCCTCCCAGGAAGCCAGGGTGAGCAAAACCACACTAAACCCAGTTCTGTATTATTAAACCATGTCTGCTGAGTCAAAAAAAAAAAAAAAAGAAATATGGAAAATCTGTTCAGGAGTGCAAAGACTATCCCTAAATAACCTAGTGTGAGCTAAAAACGCATGGACTGTTTTCCACTTAAAAGTTTCAGAGTATCAGTAAATAACATGGGTATGTACAGTGATATAAAATGGACAGTGATTATATCTGAAGTTTTAGCCCTGAAGTTGATATGTTATGGAAAATTTATGTCTCATGCTATTTTATAGTATGTATACATTTTGTTTTTTAAATGTGTGTACAATAACTAAAATGCTGTAATATTAAATTTTGTCAAATAACTTCAATAGTTAAAAGTACTCTAATAAATAGAAAAAATGTGTGAATTTGTAAACTAGCTAAAGTTTTGTTTTTGTTTTGCTGCTCATAAAAATTCCTGAATGCTAGACCTCTCCAAAGTGTGCAGGTCCCAGGTGCTAAGAAGCAACAGGGAAAGAAAGCCAATCTTGGTGAAAGCAAAGCCCAGTCCTCCCTTCTGGTCCTCACTATCCATCCTCTCCACTGACCTCCTCCTACCTCACCCTGAGCTGAGGCTGGGAAGGTGGCACTTCTCCCACACCGACCCACCTTCCCAGGTAGCTCCTTTCGCGGGCTCTATCACCTGTTTTATGTTATTTTTGCCATTTTCCCATGACTGAGGACCCACTGGATTTGGGCTATATCACCCAACCTTGAAGTCTTATGGATCTTTCTTGTAGCTTTGTATCAGGCTTGTGAGGTTTCTGGACAAAGGGAGGCTCTCAACACTCTCTCTGTTGCTCAAAGCCCTGGAAGGTCCTCCATAGGAGTGAAGGAACCCAAGGCTGCCCGGCCCTAATTTCTGAAGTCAAAGATGATGGCTGAGGTCTTGACCTCACAGCTCGCTTCCTTCTGCTTGGATTCTAGCTATCTTCTGAACCATATAGCAGGCAAGCTCAGCGGTTTGTCAACTGCCAAAGTTGATCTGTCTTTCAGATCCAGGAAGGGGTATGAGAGCGCTCATGAAGCTCCAGTCTAAACAGCACCTCACATTTGCCAGTTTTGACAGTTGCTCAGCAGCAGAAGCTGCAAAGAATGCTTTCAGTGCCTCTGCCTCTGCAGTGAAATTCCACAAACATTAGGACTAGAGTTTCTTAAAGCCACCAAGAAGATGGTCAAAAATGAACTACCAGCGACTCCAGACCCCTGACCTTTCTGACCAATATTGTCACTAGGACCATTGCCAGAAAGCCATGTGACTTCTCAGTCCCAGCTCATTGCCCCCTTAGCTGTGTAATGTGGATCCTGTACTCTCTGTACACCAGTGGGGTACAACCTGTTCTGCCTGCTCTCACTGCATGCTCAGAGGTGCTGACTCCTCCCTTCCAGGCCATGGCTTGGGGCTGGAAGTTCCCTCCATTCTGCTGAATGCCCCAGGTGAGGATGGTAGCTACAGTTTGTCTTATATTACTGTAATCTTCAATGATGGCCATTATTTTATATCTGCATACCTGAAATGTGCTAACTTGAAAACAATTTGCACATTTTTGGTCCCTCACCACATTCTCTATCACAACAAATAATATATACCTGCCCATCTGTAATCCCCATCTCAACACACAAGGTAGACATATTGGTACATGCCTGTAATGCCTGCTAGACAATAGGCATAGGTAGGAGGATCGCAATCCAAGTCCAGCCCAGGCAAAAACATGAGATCTTATCTGAAAAAATAACCTAAACCAAACAAAAAAAGAAGGTGGGGACATGGCTCAAGAGGTTGGGAGCCTACCTAATAAGCATGAGGCCCTGAGTTCAAATTCCAGTACCACCAAAAAAACACAAACACAATTACATGCTTGTTCTCTCGCTCAACAGTATTTATTAATGGGCTACTTTTAAATTATATTTGAAGTTACGGGTTGTAAAATAAGGGTGCATTCTCTTTTTGAAAACCATTTGATACATATGGACTTTCAACAGTATATTTTTAATAGCTAAAAATTTTATACTCTTTGAGTAACCCTCAAATGTTATAAAAATAAATACACACTCAAATAATAAAATCAGTGAAATTTGGCATTTGAACCACAGCAATTCAATGCCAAATAGTAAATAGATTAATTTATGAAGGAAATAATACTTGTTAATTTGTAGATATTAAATACATGCATTATGTCTCAGAGAAAAGAACTGAGAAACAGTTTGTTAATTGAGAAGCTACAGAATTAAGTACAGAGCCAGATATATACTTAAAGATCTTGTAAAAAAAATTAATGGAATGGAAAGAATTGGGAGAAATTGAAAGATTATTTGAAACCTTCAGAAGACACAATGACTACTAGATATTCAGCTTAGCAGATAAAACGAAGTAGAGACAGGAGGAGTTAGAGAGTTTATATTATAAAGATTATTTATTTTGTCATTGTGCCTTTGGAGTAATAAGCGTGATTAGGATAATGTGAGTAGGTAGTACACAACCACCCCATTGGAGATGCAAAAAGGTGTCTTTTTAGTTGGATGGAAATTCAACTCAGTAGGCTGTTGAGAGACCAATTTTTCTTGTGTAAAAAGTTAAGGTTTTAGGAATTTGGTTTTGTCTTTGATGTATTTGGACTGTCATATTTAAGATAAAAGTTGTCAAACTGAAAAGTACAAAAAAGTAGTAAGTAAATAATTAAAAATTAATTAATTAATTAAAACTCTTTCAATTGTTTTTATTAAATTCTTTCTGGAGTGGCCCAGGTGGTACAGTACGTGCCAAACCAGCATGAGGCCCTAAGATCAAGCCCTAGTGCTGCCAAAAAAGAAGAAAGAAAAAAAGAAAAATTTTAAAGTGTCAGCAATGCACCAAAAATCCAAAACCAACCAATGTAAAGACGAGCATTAGGCTGGGGACTTAGTGCAGTGGTAAAGCCCTTAACCCAGCATGTGTGATGCTCTGCATTTGATGCCCAGCACCGCAAAAACATGTTAAACACTGTTTATTACATAAACTGTGATAAGCACACAAGTGCTAAGCAACATTCAAACATTAAAAGTTTAAAGCAGGTAAGTTTATCTTTTACAAAATTATAGTAATTTTTAAGATCTCAGCTATCCATTCTGGGATTGTAGGCCACGGGGAGAGCAAATGCTTAGTGTTGAGACCCTGGGCTCCAAACAGAAAAAAAAGAGTTGAGTTACAAGAAAATCATTCTATGTAGAAAAAAATCTAACAATTGAGGTATCTGTTTAGGCTAACTTTAATATTGTACTTTATAATAATAAAAATGAATATGGAAGAAACTTTACTTTGTTATTACATCTGACATATGAACAAAACATCCCTAATTAAATTAGAATGTGGAAACTGAAAGTACAGATTAGCACAACATACACAGCAATTTTGTCTCAAGTAGTTGGCTTTAATTTCACATAATGGTAACAGATTTAATAAATGCTGAATGTTAGGATCATGAAGAAAACTTGCTTAATCAAGCAGCACAATTGAATTCACCTGAGAGCGATAATTTAATTACATTTTCCTTAATGCTAAAAAAAACTGCAACATAGAATCTTATAAAGGAGGTAGATGAATAAATATGGCATTACTGATAATTTTAACATGTTACTTTTTGGGGCCATTGCTAAAGCTCTTTACAAGTCTTTTGTAATGCCTCATCCAAAATCTCCTTTTTCTGTCATTTTAGACAGTGTGTTACTTATCTTATAATATTGTTTGTTTCCCTGGCAGAAATAATCAAATTTTTAGCACTCTAAAGATAGCTTCTTTCTATAAGGATGAAAATATTATAATTAACATTATAAGAACTCTCTCAAGTCATTCTTCAGTGGCTGTGTGACATGTCTCTGATTCTTGATAGACCAATGCTTTCTGATGTCTCTTATGACATCGGGCATGATTTGGCAAGAATGCCTCATAGGGAAATCATGTGTACTTGGAACTATAGGTTAAGTTTTATATGAACTATTTTTAACTTATCTACAAATACAAAGACTAAACACTGCTTTTCCCCAAAATCAAAGGGAAAAATAGTTCCTCCAAACTATTCCTTTGCATCCTGTCTGCAAAGGATTATCAAGTATCAATGTCCTGTAAAATTATACCTTACCTGATTTTTCTGGTAAGAACTAATAAAAACAATTTATATTTACACCATGATTAACAATTTACAGAAGTATTTAACACTCATTCACTTTTTGTATATGATAGCCCAATTTCATGACTTTGAAGCACTTGAAACTTGATCCTTCATTTTCAGAGAATATTAAACTAAATGAGCAAATTGCTTTAAAAAATCAGATAATCTAAGATTTTAACTTATGCACTAAACAACCACAAGTGTCTCCTTTGAATCTACTTGAATATAATGCTATCTGAGAAAACTTAGATTTGTTCTTCTATGACTCTGCTAGGACATAAAGCAGAATAAAAAATACATGGAGGCATCTTTTAACAGAGGCCTAAACTACTTTTCTGTACATCAGGATCATGGAAACACCATCAAAGCTACACGCCAAGGTGCACTGATTGAAATGGGCATTTTAACAGGCACAAAATGAAAAGTAGCTACTGTTTTTATAGTATATCAGATAACTTTTTGGTTTTGTAATTTTCTACCTAGTCAAAGAATGGTCAAACATTAGGCAAATGTATTAAGCTGTGTCAGGTATTCTTGAAATTTTTCTTTTTTACCTTTCTTTTACACATTGATACAGCTTGTATTTGGTAGAACCAATTTTAAATACCTAGTGAAGGATTCTTACTATGAACACAATCAAGTGGCTAGGAAAGAAGGTTCCATTGCA